CTGTCGCTAGCTCGCCCTTGTCGTTGATCGCGGTATGTCGCTTGTGTGAGTCCGGGTTGCCGTCCCAAGATCGATCGCCGAGCAGCACAGCACTGGCCTGTAAGGCATCTCGTATTTTGGCTGTGGGGGCGAAGAACAGGAGCTCCTCCCCCAAAGAGCGAGTGATCGAGAGCGGTCAATCGCCGGCAAAATTTTCTTGCTCTCTGTACCGCAGAATAGAAAAATTCAGACCCAACACTCTAAATTAAGTGTACAATGAACCGCGTCAACACCTTCTTCTGGTCCCGGCTTAATCCCACGGGGGAACTCGTGCGGTCTGTAGATGTGTTGCTGCGTGAGCTGGTCCCGGACGACAAACTCGACGCAGCCTTTCAAAATCTCAGTGTCAGGACCAGTTCAGGAGTGGTGCCACTAATGCGTAAGCCTGAGGGTGAAGAAGTCTCGGACAGTACAGCCGACGCTTGTGAGCCAGACTATGAAGGCCACCCGCCACATGACGAAGAGTCGAGTGATGAAGAGTCAGCTGCTGAGAAAACCGTGCCTGGTGAACTCGAGCGAAAGTGGGCTAAAATACGTGCTATATTTCACGACTGGGACGAAGAACAGGGCGATCGTGAAAAGAAAATGGACGACATGGCTGAGCTCTTGTTGCGCTATCGAGTGCTGGAGAAGGTGCTTATGCCCAAAGTGCTTGGTCAATTGACGTTTGAAACGCGTAAATATGTTGGCAATGTTTTTCGCGCCATGACGGTGCACAATCTGCGCGGCTTTATTGAACTTATTGGCGAGCGACCAGATATAATGCGCTGGCTTGTCGAAGGCTACAAGAACAATGAGACAGCATTGATCTGCGGCTCGATGTTGCGCGACTGTTTCGAGTATCAGACACTTACCATGCTTTTCTTGAAAACACTTACGCCCGAGTTTGAATTCTTGTTCAAAGTCACGATGGAAAACAGTAACTTTGACATTTCAGCAGACGCTCTTATCAATATCTCGCGACTACTGACGGTGCACAAGCAGTCAAGTGTGCAGGTTTTGGAAGAGTCGTTCGACCGCATATTTGGACTCATAAACAATTTGTTGACGTCACAGAATTATGCCACTAGGAGGCAAACGCTCCAACTGCTGTCAGAGCTTCTACTTGATCCTGTAAACTTCTCTGTAATGCAGCGGTATGTCTCTTCACGCAATAATTTAAAGCAGATTATGCTGCTATTGCGTGAGCCAAGCGAGGCTTTGCGCATGGATGCATTTCATGTGTTCAAGATCTTTGTGGCCAACCCAAATAAGTCGGTGGAAGTGGAGCAGCTCTTGATTCGCAATCGTGACAAGCTTTTGGCTTTCGTGAGCGATTTCGGCAAGGCTGAATCTGGCCGTGATTTCCTTCAAGAAAGATCGTTGCTAGTGTTCGCGCTTGAACAGATGGCGGAGAAGTCAAAAACAGAGGAAAAAACTCAAGAGCATTCCACGCGGCGAGTATCCTTATCAAGTGCCGAGCGGATGCCGCTCTCAGGGCCTTTGTCGGGTGTTTGTGCGGATCAAAAGTAGATTGCAGCATGCCGTACGGCAGTGCATGAAAGTATTTAAAAGTAAAGGGAAGATGTAATTGACAAGCCAAAATTTATAGCTGCAATGGCGAAAGTGACTTGTGTTGAAACTTATTGATGTTTCCGCGAAAATGATGTACGCCGACATACATCGTTGGGTACATTTTATGGCGTGACTTGTGTATTAAGTTTTCGTATTTAATGTACAAACTTTCTGTTTTTCCCACCGTCTGTCGTGTAGTCGAACTTACATATCGCAGTGTGTCAAGTCCCATTGTGCTCTGGACACTTATTAGAGCGCATCACACTGTCGCGTAATTGAGACAAAGGCTGTCAATTACGATTACGCAAATATCTCAAAAAACCAGTGATGCTTGATGTTCACTGTAGGTAAGGTAAAGAATGAAGGTCAGAGAATTTCTGTCGAATCCAATATTTAGACAAAATGCAATGCTACGTCGAAGTAGTCTGCGGTCATACAATTCCAAAATTTTATTTAATCCTCTTACTGCTACATACAATGACAATAGGAAGCTATCTGCCTCCAGATAAACTAACAACAGGGCCAGATGCGTGGTTTACATTGCCCCTTTAAATGTAAATTTCGAAAATGGAGGTATCCGGCACCATTTCTAGTTTCGTTTGATTAAGTACGAATCTATCTGGAGGCAGAGAACTGAGCAAGGAGTCGTTGCTGAGAGACTGCCCAAAATTTCTCGGATATATCTATATATTTACAATATTGCATCTCAATTCACGACTTTACATCGGCTAAAGAGACTATAATCAATCGCATTAAATCTTCGTTTAGATTGCTGGAGAAACTCAACTTGATACGACAATTAGCGGCCGCACCCGCGTAATTTTGAGAATATGCGGTAGAGTACTCCGCGTACATAACGAATGACAGTCTTTTGAGTTCAAATGTCAACCAACGAACAGGTCAAGAACCCGATTTTTGTAACCCGAAAAAGAATTTGTTTGCGCGTCGGGCGCGGAACAGTATCATCGTGGTCGCAGCGACGAGTCCGAGAGATTTAGCGTATTTGAACGCTAGGACAATCTCTTGATTGCGGTTCAACATGTCAAGAATAGTAATCCACCTTATGACAAGTAGAGCGAGCAGTTACTTCGTGAAGCAGGAGCAGAGGCAGAGACAGTGAAGATGGATCCTGTCGTAGCTAAAAGAGGGCACGCCTGACCATAACTTGTGGTACGGGCACTTCAAGCTACGCGAAAGTTGTCGAGTGAGCGGCACAAGACACAAAGCGGCACCGGAAATCTAAATGCAAGTATACGGAGGTGATCTTTTAACGCACGCTGATGCAATGCGCGGCACGGAAGTTGTAGTCTGGAAGAAAGCGATGCTCGGAGAGATCCAAGCTTTCGAAAATTTTGATGTTTATGCAGTGATCAGGTGACCAGCTAGAACCAAGATGCTGCGCATTGAGTGAGTGTTAAAGACCAAAATTAGTGCAATTGGCACGTTGAAGAGTCTGAAAGCACGGCTAGCTGCGTGCTGGAATGTGCAAATTTCAGTGTAGCTATACGCTTACCTCCACCGCTGTCACGGAACCTCAACAAATGGTTATTCTAGGACTTGCAGCGACGTGGGGAAGGGTTCCGGCATAACATGGTGACAATTCAAAGCCCGCGTCACGGCCGATAATGAGAAGAGTCCCAAAATTCTGCCATATGCCTCGAATTGTACATTGGTCAAGGATGAGCGACAATAGTCGCTTGGTGTGACAAATGTAAACGAAGTCGCGTTTCGAGCTAAAGAGAGCTTATAGCTACCGGAACCCACACGCTAGAATCAAGCTTTCTTCAGCACGGGATGCTGATAGTTATCGACTTATTTTGGGACCAGGTTCCGTACCCCTCAAAGGCTTTTTCAGTTAGTAGGGCTTCCTCACAATAAGCTATCATAAACCCATTTGGATGCGGATCGGCAGGGCCTTCACAACACAGGGGTGGGATTGCTCGTCCAAATTTAGTGACCTATCTCTATTTCGGGTCCTATGGGTATCGAACCAGGTACCGCTTAGTCACCGGCCAGGCTTCAAACCACTTGAGCCAGAAATCAGTTTTATGTGGACTGTGGCAGGTAGGACATTTGTGAAGTCAATTGTTGCACATATCGATCACGAATCAGGCATCAAGCAGCGTATCAAGCAGCGTATCAAGCAGCGTATCAGCGACATATACCTAGACATCAGGCATGACATGAAATGATCAGCGTGTATGTCAATGACCCTCTAGTTACAGTAACAGGATCAGCAGCGGTCGCGCAAATTCTTGTTACTATTTCATCGTTTTAGGGCAGAACTATGTCGGTCTGACGACAAAGTTTCTCGGGAAAAGAGTGACGATCATCATGGGTTCGATTGTCATGAGACTCTTTGTAAACGGTTGCCTATCGGTGACGACTGTAACGATAAAGTCACGTCAGACAATGGGCTGCTACCAAAAAATGCGGGATCTGAGCTGCCATGTATTCGATAATTCCAGTCGCTGGTCGGTTGTCTAATTTGAATTGAAAATGACGACGCGATAGAAATATTCGCCGTGCGTACGAGACTGGAATCTGACAAAGAGATTTGCGCGCTGCCTAATGCACTTAAGTGACGTGGATTGAGATAAACGAGGATGACAACCGCAGCGATCCAATGACGCTCAAATATAGACATTGCCACCAATAAGAGAGTCTGAGAGGTACTGACTGGTACCTTCGTCCTGCTAGTTGAGTCATGACCTTGGCAGCCAAGAAACAATTTGGACTCTCTCGCTCGAATATGGAGGCCGATATTGGAGACGGCGCGCGAGCTCCTCAATATTTATGAGATGCGTAAATAGGAGAGACTCGCGCTTGCTCAGCACATACCGATACACGAGAATAACTAGATTTTAAATCGGCGGCTCGAAGAAGAGACGTCATAACAAAAAATCAACCGTCTCAAGTTTGTAAATAACGTTTCTCGCCGCGAAGCCTACGTCAGGTTGGGGTTGATATTGGAGGATTTACTTATTAGGGTACTGGACCAGCGTACTAGTGTGGTTTCACTAAGTATGGCGACGAGGGATAAGAATGGCTTGAAACATACATTGCGCGATCAAATTTTCGCACCATAGAGTAACGTCGTATGATCGTGTCCATGATAGCGCGACATCGCTTAGAATGACGTCATGAAAAAGGCTTATAGATAGCAAACTAAAGACCTTGATAAGTTCACTTCCAAACTTGCCTTCGACTGCACACTTTATCTTCTCTACACGTTTGTCAGGTTATCGCAACTGGTGTTAAACGAAAAAATACTCTTCGTCTACCTAGTGATGTTCAAAAGGTGGATCAAACCACCTTGCGATGAGTTGCAATTCTACTATAGGAGTACCTTTTACGAGACGCGAAGGAAATTATTCAGTTAAGCGCGCCGAAATTGAGTTAACATTTGGTATAAGTTCAAATGTAACGATATTGTGGCTTATGGCTATTATACCGTAGCGAGCGAAAGCCTAGTCGCAAATTCGTCGCACTGTTTCCTTACGTGCTATGAGACTTCTTGCAAGTTAAATTTTTAATTGGGTTCTCATCGCTTATCTCAAATCATAACCCGAGAAGTTGACGGCATTGCGCTGCACGATCACTATAATAGAATTTGTAAGTACTAGCAATTATCCCTGGGCTTTCATTTCAGCATAGAATGCTGGACTGGAATCTGCTCAATCACAGGTTCAAAATCAACTTTTACTCAGTATTCTTTCAGATGACAAACAGCACAACAACATGGCATGCTCTCGTTGTCTCCTGATCAAATATTACAATTAAAAAAAAGTCCGCCTCAAAGTTTTTCACTCTCTTCTTTATCCGAATTGTAGCGTAATCATGGACGATAGCCAACTATCGCATTCTGTTGCGAATGAGAGTCGCCCCGTGAAAGAGCACTTTGAAGTGGCATTGGTCGCTATTACAGGACAGAAGCAAATTTGATTGTCAATAAGCGACAGCGCAAACAAATTTTAGTCTTTCGTTTGAATCAATTTTCGCGGATTTGGTTCCTAAAGGTTCCTTACCAATTATGTGTTGGGTCAAGATTTGTCAATCTCGTTCAATCAGGCAGTGTAGTCGAAACAGAGAAGTGCAAAATTTGTGTTGGCTATGATAGTGACTCGCGAAAGGAAAGAGATGGTTCGCCTACCCTTTGCTAGAATCCCGACATACGATGCTACTTACATTAAGTCACATGACGTGAAGAGCTATTTATTTGATTATGTGTGAGTTTCGAAGGCGATTGCTCTTACTAACATTTTATAGTCCCCAGTAGCTCAATGTCAGTCATTTAATGCGATACGATACGTGGTAATGCCTTTTGTGAAAACACAGTGAGCTGACCACCAGCACGGTATAATTCTGAAGTCAAACATCACAGGAAGTTCCGCAGGACTAACTTATATCACGCTCTCAACTTTTTTACGCTTTAGTGAGTATCTACTGCTTTGGAGGCGAAGTCACAGCAGCAGCTAGCCCAGAGTAGCCCTGCAAGCACGCGAGAGGCTGAGTCATTCGTTGCAAGGTAGCGACAACAGCATTTGATCGGACTAAATGCCGTCGAAATGGTCACTCTTGTCTGTGTCTATACTGTCTGTGCGGACTGATATTTTTCTTTTTCTTGACAAATGCATCAAGCAGTCGAAAGGTTCCAGTAAATAATTTCTTGCGCAAAAGTAAATTACGTTCCAAATAGTTGCTTCATGGCTGGTAGGTTGCAGCAAAACTTGTCGTTTTGTCGACAATGGGTTGCTGGAACGGGAGAGCTGCAATTACAATGTCGATAGCAGCAAAAGATTTTCCTGGAGACATGTTATGCTCTCTACAGGCAGCTTACCTACCAGACGACCTTTTGGCCAAATAGATTAACGAAGTTAAAGCCGCTGCTGCGACATCATACATGAATTTTGAGAGGCTACTGTACTGTATACAGTACGTCTGATCATGAGTCGAATGCTTCTGTTTTTCCCACCGTCTGTCGTGTTGTTGAACAACAAGGACAAGGTCCGCGCGAGAAAGACTCGCCGATCGGTTGAGTCGGTGACCGTGTACAGCTCCATCAACCATTTCACATTGTGCTGGTCACATAACACTACCTTTTCTGTTTTTTCGTGCTGGTGCTGTCCCGATACGTCATCACTCGACACATTATCACGATCACCATGATTGATGAAGACTCGATTTCGGTTGTGATCACAGCCTCGAAGGAGATTGAGCGCGTTAGCACGCCTGGACAGTTTGAAGGTGACGTCAAGCGACATGTTAAGGGTCATATGTACACTATCTACACGGTCTTCGTGCGCAACGTCACGACTGGAGGAAAATGCATCGTGCGGAGGCGCTACTCGGACTTTTTCAAGCTGCGGAAGGAATTGATGGAACTTGTGTCATGGGGTCACTGCAATTATTGCGAGCAATATCTGCAGCAAATTGCCGACTACCCATTTCCGCGCCGACGGCTACTGCGCTCGAGTCGTGCGGCTGTAGTGAAAGAGCGTATGGACAGCCTCGGACTTTTCCTAAGGCATATACTTCTTTGCATCATGGCTCGTAGGTTTGAGAGTTGCTCTCAAGCTTGCGATAAGATCCGGAATTGCATCATACACTCCTTTCTGCAAATGGAGCACGCGGAGTCACTATTCCCGACTATGGCGTCAAAACAGCGCCCAATTGAAATTTTACAAGCCATGGAAGAGAAGCGTCAGCAGCAGGTCAAGGCGGCAGGTCTTCGCTCCAAGAGTCAGGCATTTACGTTGCATTCGGACCAGAACAACCAGTCCATACTGTCGCGCAATCAGCGTCAGGTAGGAACAGACACTTGCCATCTCTGTCTTCAAAAATGGACGCACTGCTATTGCAATAGCGACCAGGATTGCGTATTCCCTGTCAATGTTGTCACAGAAAGCGACGACAAATGTCCTACGCAAGAGTGTTCTAGTGGCTCAGTAGATAGTGACGTTAGTCGATGCAGTCGATGCGAGAATGACTGGAATCATTGCTACTGTTGCCAACAGATGTCTCCCGCTATCTCATTAGTAAGTTCCGATCACTGAGCAATAATTTTGTAATACTTAAGCTTAAACAATTATTTGCTCGCCTACCACTTGATTTCTGCATATCAAATTGGCAAGTTACGCTTAACGGCGCAAATATAAAGAACTTTAGATGAGTTGTCGCAGAAATGCTGTGCCGTGGGTAGATTGGGTCGAATGGCAAGACGTGCATGAAAGCTTGTTCAGTACTGATCCGTTTTTACAGCAGAGAGCTGTCTCCCGCGTGGCTGCGTGGCGCAGTCGCACACAGCTTCCTGTGGCTATTAACGCCACATCTCAACTGGTAGAATTGCAACTTCATGAATCCATGGCACAGCATCATCACCACGCAGTTGGTGTGAGCTCGCGCTCGCATAGTGAGCTATCGCTTCTCTACGCAAACATTATCGTACGCTGCGTGAATGGCCTTGTTGACGCCTCGCAGAAGGGTGAATATGCCCACGCCGTCAGCACACTGGCTCAACGAATCGGCATCCCGCTTTGGATTGTGGATTTGCGTCACGAATCCACACATAACCAGTTACCATCACTACCAGTACTGCGCTTTGCTGCCCGCCATTTACTCGCGTGGCTTCGTGCCAATTATTGGAACGCTCAGGAACGTTTGATTCGAGGTCGTGTGCATCATGTGGCGGAAAAACTCTTTTTACAATTTCCGCATTTGGGCAACCAACTAAGAGATGACAAAAGCTCGATACAAGAAGCTCATAAGCTAGAATTCGATGTCGATACTTTACGCAATGTCGTGATACCATTGCTGGTATGTGGAGAACAGTACGGTGAACGTGTGGCTTTAACTGGACTGATGTTCTTGAGAGTCTTTGATGTTATGGGGAATTCCGAAAAAGAAGCGTTTGTTTCTATGCTATTGCAATTGCAGTCAATGTGGAGAAGATTCAGTGCCTCGTTGCTTGCAGCATTGTGTCAAAAAGTGTTCGATGTGATCTGTTCGCCAGAGTCTCGTTGTCAAAAAGAATCTAAAGCTGACCAGGCTAGAAAAATTGAACGTGAAGAGTTTCACGAACAGAACGAGATAGATATGACTATTTTATGGATTCAATTTATGGTAAGTGGCGAATATCGCGAGAGGATGAAGCTTCAAATCGACCCAATTGAAGATTTGTGCCAATGTGGGGCTGAAATGCTTGCACTCGGCGAAAGTATCAAAGTGAAAGTCACAAAAGGATTTTCCACGGACTTGCTAAAACGCTTAGTGACTACGTTAAGGTCAAGTAAAAGCATAAGAAATCACTCAACATTAGCCATTGAATCCGCAAACTCTACTGAATCATTAAGCAATCAAAAACTGGGATGGGTACAACTTGCATGGGTAGAGAGTCCTCTTGGGCTTCGCTATAGCTACGCGAGTCATCAAAGCATCTGCCAGCGTCAATTGTGCGAATATTCGCTTGATAATGACATACTAATGCCAGAAAGCACGTCGTTTGTGAATCAAGAGGAAGAAGAAGATGATTCTCACACTATAGATAATGACGATGCAGAAATGGTTATGGATGCGCTCATGGAGGATTGGGATGCGACGTACAATACTACTCTTCAGCAGACTCTTGATTTGCAGGATACTATCGCTCGCGATGGTCTTCGACAAGGTGATAGTACTACTGTCCTTCCAAAACAAGAGCTGCTACGCATTCAGGAGGAGATTGAGATTTGGTAGCGAATATATCTTAGATGTTCTACTCAAATCTTAGGTCAGATTTTTCTGTTAGAAGAAACGGATTATTACGTCATAGTCTACAAAATAAACTTAGAGAGGTCCGTTGTCTTCATGAGCTTGCCAACCCGCTCGAGCACAAAGTCTTTTGTAATCGTAACAATAGAGCCCGGTGCCATCTCGGAGCTGTCAAAGCTTATATCTTCCACCACTTTTTCCATTACAGTATGCAGACGTCGAGCGCCAATGTTTTCGACAGTCTGATTAATTTCATTAGCAACACGGGCAATCTCGCGTATAGCATCATCTGTAAAGCTCAACACGACGCCTTCCGTCGAAATAAGCTCAATCTGTTGCTTAATTAGGTTTGTCACTGGTTCTGTTAGAATACGGTGCAGGTCTTCCTCGGTAAGACCTTTGAGCTCCACACGAATGGGTAAACGACCTTGCAGCTCAGCAAGCAAATCCGATGGCTTTGAAGAATGAAACGCGCCCGAGCCAATGAACAAAATGTGGTCGGTGTTCACATTTCCATGTTTTGTAGAGATGACGCTGCCTTCAATTAAAGGTAGCAAGTCACGCTGTACGCCTTCGCTGCTTGGATCAGAAGAGCGACGAAAGTCTCCACTAGAGCAAATTTTATCGATTTCATCAATAAACACAATGCCATTTTCCTCAGATTCATGGATCGCTTCCCGCACGACATCCGTCATATCGATAGCATTCTCCATCTCCATCTCCTCAAACACTCCACGGGACTCGGCAATTGTCATGCGTTTTCGTTCCATCCTTTTCTCTCCAAAAGCTCGGCCGAATACTTCCATTGGTATGCCCTTCCCTTCACCACCAACAATTGAGATTGGTTGAGCGCTTGGATTTTTGGATACGGGAACGTCGAACTCAATCATACGGTCTTCGAGTTCTCCAGTACGCAAAAGACGCTCAAAAGTGGCACGCGAGCGTTCAGCCACGTTTGCTCCCGTGAGCACGTCCAAAATACGATTTTCCACAAGGTGCTGCACTTGCTTACGCATTTTCTCCTTGCGATTTTTTTTTACCATATTAATGGCATTTTCCACGAGGTCGCGAATGATTTGGTCGACGTCGCGGCCGTGAAAGCCCACCTCCGTAAATTTAGTAGCCTCTACCTTAACAAAAGGAGCCTCAGACAGCTTAGCCAGTCGGCGCGCTATCTCTGTTTTGCCGCAGCCCGTGGGACCAATCATCAGAATATTTTTTGGGCTGATCTCCTGGCGCAACTCATCTGAAATCTTCTGACGACGCCATCGGTTTCGCAGCGCAATGGCCACGGCACGCTTAGCATCAGCCTGGCCTACAATGTACTTATTCAGCTGCTCTACGACCTCACGAGGCTTTAGTTTGCGTCCAATGTCACTCTGGTCACTCTCTTCGGTCGAAGCTTCGTCTACTACTGACATAGGAACAATTGCATCTTCCGTTAAAGATTTGGGTGCAACTGTGGAAAACACGCGAAGCATTTGCGTCGGCCGGATCAATGCATGGGATTGAAAATTAATGCGCGAAGCTACGGGAGATGCCACTGACTGCTGCGTGTGGTGTGTAAAGCGCTTAAACGCGTGTGAATGCAGGGCACGACGCATTTCAAAAACGTAATTTTTCTTTGGTAAATGATGTCCCCTTATTAGAGGAACAGTCAAAGACTTTGATTTTCACATACCTTTTAATACTTTGCACACCTTCAGAGGTGATTGATACTCCTAAAGCACGTAGCTCGTCATGGCTCCCAAGAAGAATAAGCAGCGCGAAAAACTAGAACAGAGCCTTGCATCTTCTAGCTCGCGTGCACATCAGCTGCTTTTGGCTAATTCGGATGCCAACGTCACGATGCCGCCCAATTTCATTGGTTTTGCTAGCTTTGCACAGCCAACTCGAAACGCCGTCGAGATCCAAGCTGAGGGAAGCAGGGTGAATGCTAAGGCCATGGTGCAAAGCATCTACGATGGCTCAGATCATGAAATTGCATTGATGCTTAAAATGTTAGCGAAAAAAGGAATCGTGACTAAGAACAAGGCGCTACAGATATTTCTCACAGAAGTGCTACCATCTCGCCAGCCAGCAGAGATCCGCCCAATGCTTGGCCACTTCATGCAGTTATACACTTTCGAAATGCGCGACCAGAACGATCGCAAAGTTCGCCAATTGCTTAATGAGGTTTTGGCTGCCTTGGCCGATAAGATGCGGCCCCGCGCCTTCATACCGCATCTACAGCGGCTTCTACCTTATTGGTACTTGGCCATGCACGATATTAATGCGGACGTTGCTGGAGTGGCCAAAAAAGCTTTCGAGAAGCTCTTTCCAGAGACAGAGATGCTGAAGAATGCGCTTGAAGACTATTTGCCGGCTATGCTAGAGGAATATCAAAGTTTTTTTGCCAGGACACCCGAAACCTTTGAAGGCATTCCACTACAATCTGATGAAAAGGAGGAACGATACGAGAGATGCGTCTCGGCTGCGGTGCTTAGTATAAATGCTGTGATCAAGTTTTTTGGCGATCAAGATATGATGGACATGCTGAATGATAAAAGATTCAGCTGCTCCGTTGTCACAGTCGTATCGTCTGATAAGTTTACACGTCTTGCGAATGTATCGTCCAAACACCCGAACTTCACACTAGATATTGTGAGAAGAGCAATGTATGTGGTATTTACGACACTCTGTACAAGTGGCAAGTCAATAATTGCTGCGCGTGAAGAGATGTACGGCAAGGTGATTCTTGGGAGTCTCGGTGACAAGTGTCCTGCAAACCACGCTGCAATGTGGAACGCTGTACTCACGTTTTTGCACAACTTTCCTAACGTATGGCACTCTAGCAGTAGCTTTTCGAACTTTGTATCCAATGCAGTGTTTCCGCGTCTATTTGCTCAAATTCGACATGGGTTTTATGGCTCTGGCCAATCTTCTTTCCCCACACTGCTGCCATTTCTATCAACAGTTCCCTTTAGTGTAGCAGTTGATTTTGCCTTTGGTCGATCCGCATTATATTCTGGGGTTCTGGAGCAATGTTGGAAATTTATCGACTCAAAGAATTCACGATTTGGTGAGCTACCAGCGATTTCAGCTTTCTTCGAGTGTGTGACCGGCATCTTTAGTATTTTCTTGACGGGTTTAAGCGAAGACTGGCAAAGTAAACTGGCTGATGAGCACTTTCAACTCAATTATGTAAATCAGTTTGAGAACGTTTTTAAATCTTCACTCACGACGACACTAAGCTCGCTCGACTTTCCGGAAACTGGAGTTGAGCTTTACGCTAGCAGTTTAAATAAGTTATTTACTCGGTTGCGTGACTGTTCAATGGATCTTGATCTGCTCAAAATGTTAAAAGAAGTCTTCACAGAAAAAATTCACGCATGGACAAGGCAAGCTATCGTCTCGATGGTGGCTAAATCATCTTTTGTTCCCTCGAGAATCTGCATACTAATTCGCATAAGCGTTAATGATGCCCGAGAGAGTGATACACACGAGGCTGCGCAGTGGCTTTTGACGAGCACTGAGCTTTATCTACAGTGTCTTGACCTGGTGGACAACTTGGTGGCTGAGCCAGCACTAATTCCAGCAAAAATCACGTCTTTTGATCATTTGCTGGAGGTAATAAATGGAATTTGTGACGCCCATCCATTGAGCCTACTGATATCAAATGAATACGATACGCCAGCGGAGACGCACTTTGATGATCATTACCGTCCTGTGCTTCGTGTGCTATCGAAGTGGAAGAAACTAGCTGACGATTCTAGCTTGAATAGCCCTTTTTGTGGTGCCTTGAAGCTAACGCGGCCATTCTTTATTGCTGCAAAAAACAAAAAACACTTTCTGCTGCAGCTTTTTAAAGATTGCAATATTCAATCCGGCGATTTGGCGGGAGTAAGTGACATCATTCGAAACGGACTTAATTTTCCAGTAACGGATCTAGGAAATGAGCAATGGCTTAACTGTGGGAGCTGGCATCGTCAGAACGAAAGTAATGTGTTGCTTAGCGATCAAGTTTATCCAGAATTGAAGGCACTTCAAGCAATTTGGCAAGGAAAGTTGTTCGATGATTTATTAATGATGAGTATCAAGGGGAGCTCTGATGACTTTGATGCAAATACTTTCAATGATTTCATACAAGCATGTCTTGGAGGCCTCTTTAACTCACCTGTTGTAAGTTCTGACGCTGTAGTTATCTTGTGTCACTTTGTGATCCAAAAAGGTGCCGACAACACTAACGTCATTGTGATGCAAATCCTGACGCATCTTTGCGAGCTATTTTATAAACTTGGTCGGTATTCATCAGCGGAACTTAAAGCTGTTGAAAGTGACGTGTACAAGCAACTATTTCATTTGTCAGCTCGAGGTAGCTACAGAGTAGAAGCAAGAGCTTTGTGGGATCAGACTGTCAGCCAAAATCTCAAGAAGTGGTCTTTGAAACGAACGGAGGACTTCGTGAACGAATTGGCAATATATATAAATGATCTCCTCTTAGCTGATTTGCCGGCGGGGGCAGTATCTTTTAATGCCAAGCTGTTTGCAGCATATGTCAAATGCTACATACATCTTGGTGCTGACCAAACATTCTACGCAGCTTCTCGACTTGTGGAGAAACTTGATGCGATAAATCTGCGATGCAACGTAGACGATCAGAAGGAACTTTTTTACAGCCGAGTTCTGTTATGTCTGGGCGAGATTTGCGAGGATGAGCAACTTGTTGACGCCTTGGTAGCATATTTTGTATGGTTGGCGTCAGAGAATGAAGTAAAGGCGGTGAGTCTCGTTATGAAATTTGTAGACCTAGATGTTACTCATGCGTTGACGTGGGTTGTGTTCCACTCGAATAACCTCTTGCGAAGTGGCTTCGATCTTGTGGAGATAATGGAGAGCTATATATCTTTTGAACATATGTACATAGCTTTGAAGCTGTCTTCGAGCATTCTCGACAAGGTTGTCGTAGCCATCAATTCGTTATGCCAGAAGAAGCGCAAGCGTGAAAGCGAAGAAGTTCGAAACATTATGTTTTTGTGCAAGAACCAAAGCGAGCGCGCCACGAGCCAAAATCTAAGCTTGCTTACACAAGAGCAACACAAAGTACTAGATGAATTGTCTCTCGCAGTGCTAGCTCCATATAGCACTGTGACAGTGCGAACAGATTCTATCCAGGAGGTTGTGGATCAAAATGGTGACTGGAAAGCAGAATCCACTCAAATCATTGCTCTTTCGTTATTGAGCGCAATAGGCTCGGAGAAGGAAGTCAACAATAAAGTTGTCACAGCACTAAGGGGGTTACTTGCTTTATGCAATCGTGATGTGGTTGCTAAACCCGAAGGTGTACTGCTAGAGTACTCACGATTTGTGGCAGAAGGGGCTAAAAAAGAAGCCAATTTCTTAAGCGCATGCAGCTTTACCACGCAAGCATTTGTTGATTTGTCGATTCAGGAATCGGTTATTTTACACATTCAGAACCTGCTCTCGGTGAGTTCGCCTAGTGTTGTGGAAATTGAAGAATGGATTACTATCACGAACTACGTAGCAGCTCTTTCTCTGTATTTGCCGAGTGCGACATCAGAATTTCGTGATGCCTGGGAGACTCTTGCACGGCTGATTGTGACCCATGCTTTGGCAGGTAAAGCTGATTACGCGAAAGTCACATCACTTAAGCTTCAAACGCGATGGAAGACTATCGATAAAAGCATGAAGGGTGACGAAAAGCAGATTGTGCTTAGTTACCCGAATGAGCTATTAAGTGCACGTTTGGCTTTAATGAATCTTGTAAGTGCTATGTACAATTTGAGCCCTGATACTTTACAAAAGCTGGCTGTACACTTTCGCGAAGCACTTTTATCTACAGTGCTTTGTGCAATCTCAGAGTGTATAGAGATCAAGGCTAGTATCGTTACTACGTACGTGGCAGTTGCTTCTCCATCTCAGAGCTTCGAGCTTTTAAGTCTTTGGCTTGGCGTCGAGAAGATACTAGCTAATGCACTTCGAGCATTGCGCTCAACTTTGACGAGCGTACATGATGTCGATTATATTAATCGAGTTGTGCTGGAATCGTTTGGTGGCATTGGGGCTCTTGCCTCTCTCTTTAATCGTAAAATCTACTCTCTTCAGCCTATGCTGCGCGTGTTATTGTACATTGTGGCAACACATAGTGGAGCTCTCCGGCTACGCCTGAATAATGATACGACAATCGATTTGAATGCTGATAATGAGGTTGCGACAGAATCTGCGTTAGCCAGAGCGCTCATCCCAAAGGCCTTGCGCTCAGCCTTGCGTGCGGTATTCGCTGATAAGAATGGTGAAAGCAATGCTGGCAACAATAGTATACTTAAGAAGCGCGAGCAAACATCTCAGCAAGACACTATATGTGTATTCCTTCTTTGGGATTTATTCCTACAGTTGTTTCCTGAGGGAAAAGATGACAATAGTACGGCACATGAAGGTCCTTCGTCGGCTCTTATCGCGTCCTCGTTAAGTTCATATGCTGCGCGTCATGGAATGCTAAAAACATTTCTTGACTATAGTACAGCGCTATTATCGCAAGACCAGCAGTGTATGTCAAAAAATGACGCTGCAGACCTTCGAGACGTCGCGCTTTTTGATGTTTCGGATCTGGAAAAAGTAGAAGACAATGAGACATGGAATTTCAACGATAAACGTGTGTTCCAGCTTGCAACACACGTGTTTTTCCGTACAGTAGTTCGTCTACCTGCGATGGTGCGGTCTTGGTGGAACGATACTTGCTCGCGAGCCACGCGAAACTGGGCTACCAAGTACTTTGAAGACCACATCACTCCCTTCGTACTCGCAGCTGAGCTCGATTTTATACAAAAAGCTCGCGTGCGCTCATCACTGACTGATACGTCCTGGGAAGATGAAGAAATGACGGTAAAGGGAAGTCGAGTCTCTCGGGAAATCACAACTACGTATGTGAAGGATGAGTGTGCTTTAGAAATGGTTTTACGAGTTCCTTCCTCGTATCCACTACGTTGTGTTGAGGTCGAGTGTACCAAGCGAATTGGCATTCCAGAGGATCGATGGCGACGATGGGTGCTTCAAATTATTCGTGTCACATCCTCTCGTGATGGCTCATTACTGGACGCGGTGCTGCTCTGGAAACACAATGTGGATAAAGAATTTGAAGGAGTCGAACCATGTCCAATTTGTTATTCCATTTTGAACCCGAAGAACATGGCTCTTCCATCATTGCCCTGCAAGACATGCAAGAACAAGTACCACAACTCGTGTCTATATAAGTGGTTCAACCAGTCTGGAAAAAACAGGTGTCCAATTTGTATGCAGCCCTTTTGCTAATATGATACAAAAAATAAAAGATAATTAATTCGGATAACTTATCGGTGGGAAGCGACGCGTAAAGTTATATAATTTTAGATGGAATCTAGCAGATGACACAGCCGCAGCCCGCTGAGTCGACCGTCTTCGCAATTGCGTGTCGCCGCGTGGGTTCTACAACATCAGGCAATCAATGTTTCTCGCTGATGTCAAATACCTAAACAGAGCGCGTGTACCTCCTACAGCCTCCTGTGACTTATGAAAGACCGAAACATTGACAGGCGTCGGATGCGTGTCAAATACTGGAACGGCAGATTCTAGTGAATGTGCATCCTGTAGAATTCCGCGTCCCATGCAAATCAGGCGGACAGATTTGGCGTCTTCTGCGGACGGCACATCTGCGAGCAAATTATTTAAGTTCAATTCACCTTGATAAATTAATAGCATGACGTACTTTGGGGCCAAGAACGCATGAGCTGTGCCTTGGCCTCAGCTACAGTCGCTGCTTTAGAAAAGTTCATCTCCAATTGTACGCCATCTTTGTTCGCAAACAAAAATTTAAGCCGCAGCGCATCGCCCATTCTGCTTTTTGTCACTGCAAAAGTGATGCGAGAAAGGAGCATCTATTGAGAGGGACAAAAACTGGAGAAGTGGGTAACATGCGATTGGCTGGGTGAGTTGAACAAGTGGATGACAATAGAATACGCACTTATAAATGAGCCTTTAAATTTCATCGTGACTTTCAGCAATTTACCTGTGAAGGCAACCACCATCGGAATGTACTCAAGCGCCTTCTCGTTATACCAATAATTAATGTACTCGATATTGGCGCTTGTTGTATCTCATTAAGTATTTTATTCGAGAGACTCATATTAACAAGCTGTGTACACAGTTCGTCAGATTACCCAACCACATGTTGCTTTAAAGTTATGTTGAATTAACTCACTGGCTTCTTTTGGATGCCGAACAGCCGCCTGTATACTGTCATGCTATGTCTGCATCACCAACTGCGTCGCCATTTCCGTCATACACTCGCAAATTCCAGAAGTAATGCTTCCAAACAAAACCTACAGCTTATTTCCCACACTCGCTAGAGGATGAAGACCCGTTGATGCTGCAGCAGCGTCAGTGTCGAGATAAGCTTCATGCTCTGGGGCTTGTGTGTTCGTTGCACTCACCACTCAGATAGGTGACAGACGATGAAACTACCTATTCTCCCGCCTCGTACTCGATGAATAATTTCTTAAAGTCGGGCGCGGACAAGTATTGGAAGGGAGATGCGGAACAGAGTGATGGTCAATTGAAGCATGAACGTTCGAACTTTGGCATCGATGCGCTGGGAGTGTTACGCGACAGATTTGCTATGTGTGAGCGGTGTCTGTAGTGCATGGCGAAAATTAGCAACGAGCCACAGAAAGGTGGCAGACGATAAATTACCTATGATTCCGCCTCGTACTCGATGAATATTTCCTCAAAGTCGGGCGCGGACAAGTCGCCAGATTGGAATGGAGATGCGGAACTGAGTAATGGTCAATTGAAGCATGAACGTTCGATCATTGGCATCGATGCGCTAGGAGGGTTACGCGACAGATTTGCTATGTGTGAGCGGTGTCTGTAGTGCATGGCGAAAATTAGCAACGAGTGATTTGTTATGGGAGCCGCTACTGTTTACGCCATGGGAAAAATACCCATTGCTTATGTTGCTGGGGCTGGAGCGAGACCCGATGCGTCAGCGTGTTGATGTACCGGCAATTCTGGTTTATATGGTGTATCAGAGGCTTAAAAATTTTGTGGCTGTGCATCGAATGAAGCTAAACGATCCCACCAAAGTTATTGAAGCTACACCGAGAGACGATGGCATCATGCTAGATTTATTAGTAACACTTAAAAAGAAAACATGCATCGGTGCGAAGTTTCAAGCACAGCCTGAATTCAGTGTACAGTTATTTAGTATCAAACGCGATTTTACGACATCAGTGGTGCGTGCTGAAGACCAAGACTCGAGTAGAATGGCACTAGAGATGCATCAATGCAAGGTGAAGCAATCTCGTTACATGGCGAGTATGGTACTGGTTCAGCCGAAGACATTTCCAGCGTTGTGAATAGATAATCTTAAATGAATGGCTCACGACAAAGCGGTGTGTCTGTGAGCGCTTTTGCGCTCCTATGTGCGTCAGTTGTTGCTTGCCGTGGATGTATGAGAGCAGTCGCACTGCGAACATATCGATATATCACCCGAAAACGCTGTGAGTCTCGATCGCGTAAAATTAAAATGCCGTTAAGCGCTTCAAACGGTCAGCCAGAGGTCAAAAGCGGTGAGGTGTACTCCAATGACGTGGACGTTATAAAAACTGATGAATTAGACATGGAAGTTATGCGCGGCTACTAAGCCAGGGATCGAATTTCCTTATTTCAGCTTTTTCTTGGAAGAAGGAATAAGGTGGTAGCCGAGGCCGAGTATTTGACTAGTTGACGAGGACATGAATTTGGGTGCACCCGTTCTCGGTGATAATATATATTTTGCGCAACAGCTCCGACCAGCTCATGCCGAAGGTGACGCTGACAATGATAATGGTGCTGCTCTTAGAAATCGTGTAGCTCTTTTTCAAGTTTCAATCGTGAGCCCTGTGATTCAAACGGCCATGATGGTGTTGTCGCGAGGGCGATTCGCCGATAAAAATGAAATTGGCAGTGCTAGTTCTTCGATTGTAATTTGCGGTGGTTTTTAGAATTTGCAAGCTTTCTTATAATCTTTCATCAGCCTTCGAATCAAGACCGCTGCGTCACGAGTACATTCGGTGCTTAGAGCTATCCTTAGCCGTCGCCGTCCACCACATTGGTATCAACGCCAATAAGTGACGTCAAAAATACAAAAGCAAGTTTGTGATCTATTATATTGGCTTGTCATCCCGTATAGAAGAGCTTTATAATGGTGACTTGAATTTGTCAGTTAGTTCGGAGTTTATTGCTGAAATCATGCCACAGTACTCCTGTAGGAAAGAGATCTTCAATCTGATCGTTTCATTAGTGTTGCTGTGCCGTATGACTCTTCATTTTTTGAATACGTGTGCTGGCATGTTCGCAAGCGTTTACACTACAGTGTTTGGATGTATCACACGTCCGAGTGCCGACATTGGTTTTATTGCGTGAGTTGACAACATTTAGGCGCTTAACGCACCTCCGTCTGCCGCGATAAATTATAATCTAGAGCATTTCGTGGCTGCGTTGGCATACTCTAATTTTCTGCCGCAGCTACGAGGACTCGACAGAGACGAAGGTCAAGCATTGAATTGCTTAGAAAAATCGTACCTGATGCAGCTCGACATGGTCAGGTTCCTCCTTCAAAATTCGAGAAGTGAACAAATATTTTACTTGTGAACGCATTTTTTAAACTGAACTTTAAGTGTTCCTCTTCTGCTAATCATATTTTGCGCGAAGAGTGCTTGGTAAATAAGTCAACTACAGGGATCTCCTCGAGCTCGCGGCGTGAACAAAGATACTCACCCAGAACAATTGTCACACTTGCTGCCAGAAAGTGTAAAAGCCACCAATCCCACATTTTGGGAAATTCCTGGATCACAATCAAAATCAGTTCATAAGTCTTTTCAGGTTTAACTATATATGAAACATACTGAGTAGAAACATTGAGCCAAGAAGTCAAGAAAGTAAAGTGTGACACCAAAGTCGAGGCATTTCTTGGCTCGCTCTACGAAGAAAACAAGGCAAACGGCACTGTCGAGTCAAGAGGAATGTGAGCATGAGAACTTAAGCTACAGATGCGCGTGACAGACCTAACGACGCTGGCAACCACAACAGCAAAACAATTTTTGAGTCCATCCACATTCACGATAGTTTGTGTGTGGTAGGCAAAAAATTGATCCATTGACACATGTGTGCCATGACAAATACCCAGAATAAGCCCTTGCGCCAGATAGTGTGAGCACTTAGGAGAAGCAATGTCAGAAATTTCTAAGCAAATGACGTTTTTAATGACAATAGCGGGAGTAGCTACAGCGTACCTGCATGCAAAATATCTGCAAAAGAATGAGTTTCGGCGCCCATTGCGCTTGCCCGTAGAATGTGGGCATTCCGTTTGATTATTGGAAAAAATACGTCTAATGCCAACTAATACGTGTGGTCCACAGATGCCTTGTACAAAAATGCTGGAGCCTAAAAGGACGTACGAGGTGCTGCAGCAGCGCTGTGCCGAGGATCTTAAGAATCTGGACGATGAGAGCTACAATGACATTGAAAACTTTAAACGACATACGTGGATGATATTTAGCGTCGTTGGCGGACTCATTTACGGCTACAACGTCAGTCTGGCTGCCACTTTGCAGTACATGCGGGACGATCTGCAGTTGACATTGATGCAAGAGGAAATATTGAGCGCAACTGCAACTTTAAGTGACGCATGCTCGATGTTAATTGGTGGATATCTTGCTGACCGCTTCGGGCGCAAAGCTACAGCCATGTTCGCCTGCTCTTGCTCTATTGTGGGGGCACTCTTGGCTGGTGGTGCAAGTAGCAGCTTCTCGTGGATGGTGGTATGGCGTTTATTTTCGGGGGTAGGAAATGGTTTGTCCATCCTCCTGCTTCCCATGTATATTAGCGAGTGCGTGAATGCTACTAATCGAGGCGCATTTCTCACACTTTTTCAACTTGGGTAAGTGAGCGAAGGCCTCCTATGTAATGTTTATGTTGTATTGACAGTAATGGTACAGGGTGAATCTAGGTGTCGCTGTCCCTTACCTTTTTATGATTTTTATTAGTGAGAATTGGAGAGCGTGTTTGGCTTTCGGTAGCTTACCAGCACTTTACGTGCTCTACAGCTTTCATCTTCATTTCCCAGAGAGCATCAAATGGCTTCGTTGGAAAGAAAGACAAAGCGCACATTCCAAAATTTTAGACGGAGAAAGTTTTAACGGCTTTGTTCCCATCACCATCATGAAGCATGGTCAACATAATAGCTACCAATACTTGACTCAGCAAGAACCAGTCCCGGCTTTACCGTTGCGGACCAACTCCAGTGCGACGATGTCTCGACATGGGGAGCTAGCAGTCGGTCTTTTATTAGCATATGTCAACAATTGCGTTGATGCATCGCTTTTTTATGGACCTGAAATCATTGCGAAGACAAGCGTGTCGTTTTCAAGCAGAGATGCAAACATTTTTGGACTTGTCTGTTCGTTCGTAGCAGTATTCTCGGTTATTTTCGCAGGACGCTTCGTTATTGCGAGATTTTCTCGAAGACAAGTGTATTTAATATGTTTAGCTGTTGTCTGCCTCTGCTTTTTTGTGAGCGGTGGCATTTTTGCGCAATATTCGACAGACGAATTTGCACACAATCCCGCGGCGACCGCAAGCATCATGATAACTTTCGCCATTCTCAATGTGTTTGCTGCTGTTGGTCCCAGCATACTGTTTGTTGTAATCCTAAGCGAGCTATTCCATGACAATAGCTACCGTGCTCGATATATGAGTTATTGCACCTTCGCCATGTCGCTCATATCACTGCTTGTCAACGGGTCTATGCTCACTTTGTTTGATTTTCTTGGTAAAGCAGCCACATTTCTGATGTATGGAGTCACTTACATAGCGTGCCTCATCATATTTTACGTACATCTTCCTGAAACCAAACAACGTCAATTGTTGTGATTTTAGACTATTTTCAACAATAACGTCAGAGTAAATAGATTAATTAAGCGCTTACAATCATGTAGTGAGTTCTATTGTGATTCAGATGCTCCAGTTGTTCAGGCAGGAATTTGAATACCAGAATTTCCAATCACCCCAGTCATCTTTGTAGTATCTAGAGGTCCATACTGGACAGCGTACTGCTCGATGCTATGCTGAAGCTGCATATTTTCCGTCATGAGCCCTGTCAAATGGTCATTAAGGGCCATCACCTTTTCCTCAAGCAAGTCTCTCGGACGACGAGGCTCACCTCGATTCTTCATCCTTTGAGTCTCACGAAGACTCTGAAGCTGCATATCTTTCTCAACCATTTGATTCGTTAGATTCTCCACTTCCTTCTCAAGGGCTACAATGTCATTTTTCGAGACATAGTTCTCTTTCAGTTTCGTATTCAAGTCGCGAACGTGCTTTTGTAACTTCGCACATCTTTCTTTCCATTCAAAGTTGCTTTCACGTTTGTCCTTGTTATTCAAAGTTGTGCAATGATCACGCAGCTTTTGATTTTCCACCTTCAGTTTCGACATTTTGTTACTAATGTCTTCAACCTGCTGGAAAAACATGTTTTTCCTTTCCCTCGAATTGTCTCGCTTGCTCAATTTGCATTCACAAATCCGACTAGAGTGTTCTACTCCCTCCAACCGCATATTGAGCTCGTTGATCAGCTTTTCTTTCTGTTTTACCAGCGCAATCTGACGAGACTCACGTTCTTGGAAGCTACGGAGAAGAACAGACACTTCCAAAATACCACGATGGAAAGCCTTATCGTCAATTTGATCAGCATCGGCCTCTCCGATTTCAACGTTTAATTTCATCATTTCATAACGAAATTGGTGAAGCAAAGACATTCTGGAAGCTTCGAGTTGAGCAATTTGTGATAAAAGCTCCTGCTCTCGCTGTGCTGATTGATCACAGGCTTGCTTTAATTCTTTCTTCGCTTCTTCTTGTGCAGCAGTATGAGCTTCATTTGTAGAAGCTTTAGTCTGTTCAACTTTTTTCAATTGCTCTCGAAGAACTGCATTCTGTTTCTTCAGCAATACAGTCTCGTCATCCTTTTCATGCATTGCGTCTTCATAATAGCGTTTGAGTCTGCCTGCAGTATCACAGGAATGTTGCAATTCTTTTTCTTTTGCACTCATCTCGTCATAGTGCTGACGCCTCTCATCTTCGCGTGCAGCAAGGTCGTCTTGTAGTTTTTCAAGCTTTCGTGTGAGCTGTTCGAATAAATGGAGCTGGCTACGAGCGCTATCTATCTCCACTGTGTTTTCCTTAATTACCTCGTGCAATCGCTTATTTTCCTCGTACAGGCGATCAATTTCTTCCAGTTTTGCTTTCATGTTTTTGCGAATTTCGGCGCTTTCAGTCATTACAGTGTCGTGTTGAGCTTGCAAAGCTCGGTACTCACGTTCTTTTTGCAAGCTCTCGTGCATGGCACTCTGGTCCCTTGCATTTGTTGCTTGCTGGCTGACTGCAAGCTCGTGCTGAAGCCGCTTCACTGATGTCTCAAGCTCCTTCACATGTGCTTGAAGTAGCTTTTTGCTGGCATCAGACTGCTTTCTCTCGCTTAGCTTGTTTTGAAGATCCTTGACTGACGCCTCAAGCTCTTGCACTTGGTTTCGCTGTCTTTCTTTAGCCTCAAAAAGTTCCTTGGAATGTTCGTGCTTCTCCTTTTGAGAGCTTTCCATCAGATGACGAGTCATTTCTTTCTCTTGTTCAAGTTTCGTTTGCAGCTCAGCCATATCATCCTGCATCTCTATCACTAGTCTATCCTTTTCTTCAAGTTGAATCGTCATGTTCTGCTTATATTGTTCGTACATAGCCGACAACTCTTTGTAAGATGCGTCGAGACGCTTAGAAGCATCTATTGCGTCACTTTGAGTGTGTCTGTCCTCCTCGTAAGCGGCAATTGTTTGCTGCATCTGATTCAAAGACTCCTCCCTTTCCTCTCGTTCCTGTTGTAGCTGCAGAAGCTCCGAGTCCAATTTCTCTAATTCGGCTGCAAAGCATCCAAGATCTTGTTGAAGCCGAGCATTTTCCTCACTCAGCTTGACTCTTTCCTCATCCATTTGTCGCACTTGTGTGTCGACCTTAGAGTCCATCTCCACCTGTAGCTGCACAGCTTTGTCCTCTTCTTCTTTGATCCGTCGGTCCATCTCGCGTACCAATCTATCTAATATCTGACAAATGTCATCTTCCATACTAAATTGACCCTCACGTAGGATAATCATGCCGTGCTGCCGCAGTTTGCGTTCAAACTCGCGTTTCTCTCCAACTAAGGAATTATATTCATTCGACAATTGTTCATTCTTCAATTGCAAACTTTCCACTTCATATTGCTGGCTGAGAATTTTCTCTTCATGTGATCGCACTAATTCCTGCATGTTTCGTAATTGTTGTTGTCCATCAATTATCTGTGTATTACATTGCAAGAGCTGAGATGTCAGTTTTTGCAGCTGACTTTGGCCGTCCTTTGTCACCATCGCCGCTGATTGTTTCTGACTCTCAATTTTCTCAGTAGCCTGCCGCATCAATTCTTCCATTTGATACTTCAGTTGTCGCTTGTCATGCTCAAGTTGCTGCACAGACGTCTTCCACTGATCTATTTCAGTCCGATCTGTCGTTATCTGAGCTTCCAAAGTTTCTTTTTCCGACAATAGCGTCATCAAGTTGCGATTTATCGCTTCAATTTCTTCGTGCAATAAACGAACCGTGTTGTCATGAGTAGCCTGCTGCTCAATCGAGTGATCATGAACACGGTGAGCTTCTTCCATTAGTGCTTCAGCTTGGGCTCTTGTCTCTTCGACTAATCTTTGTGAATCCTGATTGCGTTCTTCCAAGCGCAGACGCTCAGCTTGTAACAGGTCCATTTCGTTCTTACGCTCATTATCGGAAGACATAAGATGCGCAATTTGCGCACTAAGATGAGCATTCTGGGTATTTCGTAACTCAAGCTCTTGTACATGATTTTCCAACTCTTGCTTCAAAGATCCATATTCACGAGAACCATCTTCTAAACGGCGTTGAAGTTTCGTGCACTCTGTCTGACACCTGCTTAGCTCTTCCTTTTCGACCACTGACTGACTCTTCAAAAGCTCCGTTGTTTTTACTGTTTCTTCAAGTCTTGCCCGCAATTCCCCATTTTCGTGCGTCATTTCGTTAAACTGATTCTCCACTTGAGAGACAAAGTCATTGTATTGATTCTCAAATTCAGCACTTTGCACCTTCATTGCTTCTTCCTGTGCCGCATTTTTCGCAGCCAGTTCTTTAGATAGAATCTCCAGTTGATGCTTTGCACGCGCTGCTTCTTCTGCGAGCTGCTGCATTTTTTGCGCCTCCATGATCCGTGACTGATTTTGCTTCTCAACCTCTTGCGCGCTTGTCATCAGCCTTCCAATCTCGGTGCTCTTGCGTCTATTCATATCCTTCAGATTTTCAACAGTAGCCCGAAGCTCAATATTCTCCTCATTTATCTTGTGGAATTGATGTTGTAGTTCGTCTTCCACCCGAGCTTTTTCATCTAATAGTTGACGCTCCCGTTCTTTCATCGCAGCCATAGCCTGCGCTTCGATTTGTGCACGTGTTTGATTAGCCTCCTGACTTAATTTTTTAAATCGCAAAGATTCTTGTTCCAAAGCCTTCGTGAGTCGCTGTCGCTCCGTTTCAACCTCACTGCGGTGTTTGTGCTGATCTGCGAGCTGCTTCTCATGCTCCTGCGCCATTCGGTCCACATGTTCTTGTAATTTACGGTTTTGTTCAACCAATTGCTTCCAATCAATCTCGCGCTGTCTCAAATCATCTTTGCTACGATTAACTTCCTTATTTAATTCGTCCACTCGGTAATTTTCCTCTTGATACCTCACCTGCCACGCTTTCGCATCCTGCTCCAACTTAATTGTTTTCGTTATCTGTGCCTCATACTGATCTTGTAGCTCACGGGTCTGTTGCTCAAAAGCATGCATTTCGTTTGATTGATTCAAAAGTTGCTGCTTCAGCCTCGTATTCTCTTGTTTCACAATCCCACTATCCCGCTTAAACTGCTCTAGTTGCGAAAGCAGCGTGTCATTGGTGGTTTTATCTAAAACCTCTCGGTCCTTAAGCTTCTTCTCTACCTGTACCCCAGCCTGTCGTAGCATCGTCACTTCTCGTTGAAGCTGTTGAATCTGAAACGTGCCTTGTTTCTTCAGTATCTCAATCTCCTGAGCTGCAAGTTGGTACTTCTCTTCCCATTGCTGTCCCTTTACCGTGAGATCTGCTATTTGCAGCTCTTGCGTTTGAATTTGCTCTCCAAGAGCTTGCACTAGTTCCATGTTCTGTTGCGCCTCCTCAATGGCCAAGTCCAATTCTTTACCTTTCCAGCGATCAATATGCCTCTTTTGAGACTCAATTACTGCTCCTAGCTCGGCAAACCGCTGTATAATGAGTGGCATGAGCTCATGCTCTTGGTGGTGCTCGTCCTGTTTCTCCAAATAGCACCACAATACACGAAATACGCTCTAAGATATCCTGGATATACAATAAAGCACGAGAACGCTTTGAATACGTACCAAAAAGTGCAAAAATTGGGCAAATGAACGCACAGCCTTCTTCACCTTGCCAGGTGAGTATCGTGCAGGTGATTCCTCAAGTTCTGCAGCCACATTGCGGCCTTTATACGTCGAAAGACGATTTCGTGAAGGCTCGGGCGTGACGCTAAATTTGAAGCTTCCATTAGATTTCTGCTGCTTTCTGCGCGGCGTGCTGAATGTCACGGTCATGGGCACTGCATCGTCATTCATTTCATCGTCGTCTTCGCGATGAGTCTCACTGTCCTGCGCGCTTTGCCTCATAATAAATGCACAAAACGGTAAGACGATAACAAGTAGTAAATCGACTTATACAGGGCATCAAAGCACCAAGGATTGAAGGCGTAAAACTCATTGTAATTCCGGTAATGACGCTGTGAATAAAGCAAACCCCAGCTTAGGTGCAACATCTACGTTTGCTGATCGCCGTATATGTTCGGGTGCGTCTATTTATTGCAAAAGCGGACAGCTCAACGTAACATTGCAAAGAGTAACCTCGCATTCAAGGCTCGAGGCATTGATTTATTATCCAGAACAAGGAGAAGAGGACAAAGCAGTGTACACGGCAGATATTGTATTACGATGATTCTGAAGAACCAAAGACCAAACCTGAGCCGCAATTCTTGCCAAATTGCGTCTTAAGCGCTCACTGCCGTAATGCAGCAAAGCTTGAGATAAGATGTCGCACTTGCAAACACTTAGATACGCAATCACTGAGGTTAAAGCTCCCATGTTCCTCACAGGTTTAAAAGGCAGACGGAAGCTGTACCTAACTGACTTGCAATCCATGCAGATAGCATCGTCGATGTGTGACCTTACCCAGTGATATGAGAA